GAAACAGGTGCAGGGACTGAGAGAGAAGACAGGGCCTTCCCTCGGGGGATTCATTGTCGGGAGACGCTTTAGTGAGCACAGGATTCATAAGAACTGCTTCTACCTCCCTGCCCGCCTTCAGAGCATGGCCCTTCAACGGGCTCTTTCTTTTACTCTGCGGCCATACTGTGAAGGAAGAATTAATACAATTCCTATTTGAGGAATAAAGAAGAAAACGGGATCCAGAGAGGTGAGGTGACTGGCTTACGGCCACACAGCTTACAAGAAGTTGCAACAGATTCAAACCTGGGTCTGTTCTGCTCCACAGTCCAAGTTCTCAGCTACTGTACCACCTGGGGCTCCTGCTCCCCCGAGAAACCCATTTCTCAGTAACTCGCACAGCCAGCTCTGTCCCTGCTCCAAACCTGGGACTTCCCAGGGCGGGGCTGGGAGGCGATGGAGGTGTGGAGGCGGAGAAGCGGAAGACAGAGCAGGTCAGGGTGCCCTGTTCTCAGGGCCACACTGATGCCACCCGGGTACAAACCCAATGTCCCCAGCCTCACTCCCCGGGACAGCTGAGAACCCTGCAGGCCAGCCCCGCCTCTGCTGCCGGACACAGAACAAGAAAAGCAGACAGAGGCAATCCCAGCTCTCATGCATGGAGCACTTCCTGCTCCCAGCCCTGTGCTGAGGGCTTCACACGCCGTCTCTGACTTAACTCCCGTGAACACCCTTCAAGGAAAAGATCGTCCTTCTCCCTCCAGAGATGAGAGAACTGAGGTCTGGAGAGAAGGCAAGCGCGAGGCAGACCCAAAGCCTCCCCGTGCTCCTTCCAGACGGGAGCCATCCATCAGGGCGTTGGCATGGCAACCAGAAAAGTTTAGACACCTTCCCAAACATCCCAGCTTCCCTCCCAGGCTCAGTGCTTATGGCCTTAAAAGGTATTACAGAAAGGGCTCTTCAGCACGAAATCAGAGGACAGGAGGCTTAGCTCCCTGCCGACCATGGAGTAATAAGGGTTCCTTTCCAGACCTCAGTTTCCCCATCCGGTCCGTGAAGGGGCTGGCCTAGCTTCTGGGGGCCTGAGTGGGTCTATAGCAGGGATGGGGAACCTTTTTCCTGCCCAGGGCCATGTGGATATTTATGACACAATTTGCAAGCCATCCGAAAGTACCAACTTAAAAATCAACCTGCTATATTTGGTCAAACGTTTAATTTACTCACCCCGAACGCCTTGACAGAGCCAGACCAAGTGATTTCCCAGGCCTTATATGGCCCACGGGCTGGAGATCCCCAAACACTGCCCAATAAAAATACAATGTGAGGCACACCTGCCATTTTAAAAGTTTCTAGTAGCTACAGTCAAAAGTGAAAAAGAGGCAGGTGCAACTCATTATAATAATACATTTTATCGAACCCAATATATCTAAAATATAACCACTTCAACATGTTGTCAACATAAAAAAAAAAAAACAATGGTTCATGGGCTACTTTACATTCTTGTCTTCCCAAGTCTGTGGAGCCCAGCGCCCGTTTCACACTTAAAGGTCATCTCCATCGCAAGCGGCCACAGTTCAAGAGCTCAGCAGCCGCGTATGGCTAGTGGCTGCCATATTGGACAGCGCAGGTCTAGGATCTTTTTCAAGCCATCGCCTGTTTTAGCAGGGAGAGACATGCCCCTAACCGAGAAGCCTTATGAAAGTTACCCATCCCTTCTTTCCTTCTTTTTTTTTTTTTTTAACATATTTTTATTGATTTCAGAGAGGAAGAAACTGGGAGAGAGCGACAGAAACATCAACGATGAGAGAGTATCATTGATCCGCTGCCTCCTACACGCCTTACACTGGGGATCAAGCCCACAACCCAGGCACGTGCCCATGACCAGAATCAAACCTGGGACCCTTTAGTCCGAAGGCTGACGCTCTATCCACAGAGCCAAACCGGCCAGGGCCCTTCTTTCCTTCTTAATGATACTAACTGCTCTCGAATTCACAGCAATTACAAGTTTACAAAGGTTAGCGACACTAAGATGTGCCAGGCGGAGCCTGGAATCAGAAAGCTAGGGCTCCCCGTGTACATGATCTCACTCATCTGGGAGAAATGATGAACAAAAAAAGAAAGAAAGAAAAGAAAGAAAAGAAAGAAAAGAAAAGAAAAGAAAAGAAAAGAAAAGAAAAGAAAAGAAAAGAAAAGAAAAGAAAAGAAAGAAAGCTAGGGGCTGGTTCTCCTGCCTGCTTGCCAGTGGTCTTGAGCATATTACATTCCTTCTCAGGGTCTCAGTTCCCACATCCGCAAAATGAATACACCAAGTGACAACCATGACAAATGAGGCTTACTGGGCCTTTGCTGGGTGTCTAGACTGTAATGGATACTGTCATGTGCCACCCCGTTCCCCCTCAGGAGGAAGACATTATTTCAGAGCGCTGCCGGCTGTCAGCCCTGTCCAGGGATGGCCCTTGGCTGAAGAGAACCGCCCCGCCCCAGGTCATGCCCCTCTCCAGAGGGCCGCCTGCATCCAGCGGAGAGGATGGAAAGATCCAGCTCCCTCACCTCAACTGGACTATGAAGGTCATGCCACCGGAGCACGGCCCTGTGGTTGGCACAGGCCTCTGTGGGAATGCCCCATCTCCCTCTAGACTGCCCCAATCCTGCTTCCCTCGCTTCCCCACGAGTGCCGGTCCTCAGAGCGCTCCCCAGAAACGTCCAACACACTCATCTCCGTCCTGAAGTCGGCTTACCAAAAACTCATCCCACTACGGGGCTGTGAACCAGCCCCTGGATCTGCATCCTTCTTTCTCAGCCCTTAGCCCAACCCCGTTTTAACGGATGACACAAACGGAGGTTGAAGAAGAAAACGGACCGGCCCAAGAACACACTGCTGAGAAGCAGTGGTGCCACAGATGGGGAAATGGACGCTCAGACAGGCCAAGTCTCTGAGCCAAAAAATGTAACGCCAAGATCTGACCCTAGGTTTGCTTTGCTCTGAAGACCACGGTGCCACAGCCTCCAGCCCAGCCCATTTAGTGCCACAGGCAGGATTGCTAGAGCACTGGAGAGGCAAGTACCTTTACCATTGTCTTGCCACACCCACTGCTTCCCTGCAGCTCCCTTCACGTTTGCAAAGAGGGAATGACAATCGTACCTACCTCATCAATAGCTTTTAAAGATGAATTTATACCGTAAAGACCTCAGAACAATGGCCGGTACATAGGAACCCCCTATTAAGTTACAGGTTAAAAATAAGTCACCTAAGCAGCATAATGTTGCTATAAGACATTCTAAGATGTCCATGTAGCTGAGTAATAGTCCATCTGTGACAATGACTGAGCATCATTAGTTCTCTAAGTGGTTCAGGTTTGCCGAAACCGGTTTGGCTCAGTGGATAGAGCGCGGGCCTGCGGACTGAAAGGTCTCGGGTTCGATTCCGGTCAAGGGCATGTACCTTGGCTGTGGGCACATCCCTGGTAGGGGGTGTGCAAGAGGCAGCTGATCAATGATTCTCTCTCATCGATGTTTCTAACTCTCTATCCCTCTCTCTTCCTCTCTGTAAAAAATCAATAAAAATATATATTTTTTAAAAATCTGACTTTCTGTTAAAAATAAATAAATAAGTGGTTCAGGCTTGACCTGAGCTCTGAAGAAGTAGGAATGAAAGGGCAAGAGGAAAGACGAGCTGTCCAGACAGAGAGACCAGAAGAACCGAAGCCCTCTGGAGGGGAACTAAAGAAAACTGATAAAAGGCCAGCATGACTGACACAGATAAAAAAAAAAAAAAAAAAAAAAAAAAAAAAAAACAGGGCCAGGTCAAGAATGGTAGAAAATGAGGCTGAATAGGAAAGTAGGAACTAAATTAGGAAGGGCCGCTTCCATAGACGATTTTGGACAAGCCACCTTATCTCTCATTTGGCTCATCTGTAAGATGGAAATAAAAATAATATCGATCTTACAAGGCCCTTAAGGAAACAGAATGAGTCAATGTTCATAAACCACTTAAAACTGTGCCATGCACACAGTAGATGCTATAGATGTTTGAAGACACATTAGAACTTTTTCTGAAGCACAATGAGAAGACATGAAGATGGTAGAATATGGATGGAAGGAGGATGGATGAAGGCAGGGCTGGCACATGGGTAGGTGAGAGTTGGTTGAGTGAATGGAAGTGTGGATGGATTGTTGGATGAAGGAATGGTTGGGTGATGGAGGTGGTTGGTTGGATGGATGGATGGATGGATGGATGGACGGATGACTGGGTGAGTGGCAGTGGATGTTGTTTCAGGGGATGGAAACATGGTTGGATATTAGGATGGGTGTCTTGTAGATAGAAGCCGTTGAGTGAATGTGGGTGGTTGTAGATGAGGGGATGGATGGGTGGTTGAAGGGTGTCTGGATATTTGGATGGGTGTCTGGATGGTTAGGCGGCTGGATGGTTGGGTAGGTAAAGAGATGGTTAGTTGGAAGGGTGGATGAAGAAACGGTTGAGTGGATGGGTAATTGTTCAGATGGATGTTGGAGAGGTTGATTGAGTAGGATGGATGGAGAGGTTGAGCAAATGGAGGGTTGTTCAAGTGTTCAATACAGAAGTTAGGTGAATGGAGGGGTTGGGCGGACAGATGAGTGACTGGGTGGCTGGATGGGTATCTGGGTGGTCGGGTGGATGGCTGGGTGACTGGATAGTTGAATTGGTAAGCAGAAAGTGGAGTGGGTGGGTAGGGTGGATGGTTTGGTGAAGAGTTGGCTGTTCAGGTGGATATCAGAAAGGCTGGGCGAATGGCAGGATTCAGTGTACGGAGGGGTTGGTAAATGGGTGGATGGGGGCAGCTGAGGGACAACAAATGCCACCACACCTGAGGCGCCTCCAACGAACCCTCTAACGGGCCTGGAGGATGCTCTGATGGTGTTTCTGTCTGTCTGTTTCCAATGGGCAGGGACAGGGGTGCAGCCACGGCCTCCTATCCTGGGCGGCCGGTCCCAGGGCCCCCTTCCTCCACGGGCCCACCCCCGCCCCCGCGCCCGGGTCCTACCTGGAGGCGGCGATCTCGGCCTTCTGGCGCGCGATGGCGGCGGCGCGCTGGGCGCCCTCCATGGCGCGCTCCACCTTCTGGCGCAGCCGGTGGCCCCGCAGCGGCAGCACGCGGCGCCGCGGGCCCTTGACCAGCACGTTGTGGCGGTACTTGCCCTCCTCGCGGCGGCCGTCGGGCAGCGTGGTGCAGCCGTAGCCGTGGCGCAGGTTGTCCAGCCACTCGCCCTCGTAGCGCAGGCCGCTGGAGCGCTCGCTCACGCCGAAGCCCGAGCGCCGGTCGCTGCGCCACTCGCCCAGGTAGGTCTCGGTGGTGGTGGCGTCGATGTCCGCCTCGAAGGCCGCCGCCTCGTCCGCCGCGTCGGCCGCGTCGCCGCCCAGGCTGGCGGAGGAGCTGTCGCTGGCGCCGGAGCCGGGCTGGCTGCGCTGGCTGCCCAGCGACGCGCGCGACTCGGCCCGGCGCAGGCGGCCCAGCAGCGGCGCGCGCGGCAGCAGCCCGGCCCGGGCGCGGGGCCCCCCGTCGGCGCGGGCCCGCAGGCTGAGCGCGAAGCCGCCGCGCGGGATGGCGGGCGAGGGCGGCGGCGGGCCGTCGGGGGCCGGCGGGCCGGGCGCGTCCGGGGCCAGCGCGCCGTTGCTGTGCTCGCTGCGCAGGGACGACAGCGACGTGCGCAGCGGCGAGCGCACCACCGCGGCCATCCCGTAGGGCACGCTCTGGCGCACGCCGTAGCCGTGCCGCATGCCGTTGGCGAACTGGCCCTGGTACGTGCCTGCGGGCGGAGAGGCGAGAGGGCAGGTCAGTGCGGCGGCGGGAGGGGCCCCTGCGAGGGCACCGGGGCCTGGGGGGCCAGGGCGGGAGGGGCAGGGCCATCGGAGGGTAAGGCCATCGGAGGGCAGGGCCATCGGAGGGCAGGGCCATCGGAGGGTAAGCCATGGGGGTGGGGGGCAGGGCCATCGGAGGGCAGGGCCATCAGGAGGGAGGGCCATCGGAGGGCAGGGCAGGAGGGCAGGGCCATCGGGGGGACAAGGCCATCGGAGGACAGGGCCATCAGGAGGGAGGGCCATCGGAGGACAGGGCCATCGGGGGGACAAGACGTCAGAGGGTCAGATCACAACGCTGTGCAGCACGCGAGGCTCTGTCTATGTGTGAGGTTCAACGTGTGTGCGTGGCCACGGTAGAGTGCAAGGGGATGTGCATGTCCGCGTCCATGAATGAACACGGCAGTGAGTTTGCAGCCGCACGGAATGTCGGAAAGCGCGTGACTGTTGGAGAGCATGGGAGAGTGTGCATTTGTGCAAGGCCATGTCACTCTGTGAGATCCTAAGTGTGCCACGCAGTGTACCTACAGTGGGGTGAGCACCCAAGGTCCCACGGGGATGTGAGAGGGTCTGGGTGCTCAAGCCAAAGCATACTGTAAGGAGATACTCTAGGATAAATGAGCGTGGGAGGTTGTGGGCGTCAGTGAATCTGAAACTATGCAAGGCCATGTGGATGCAGGAGACCTCGCGTGTCCGTGAGTGAGCACCAGGGCTCCTGGGAATGAGACTGTGAGCGGCCGCCACGTGCAAAGAGGCAGCACAGAGCCGGAGTCCTGGAGCACAGACGGCAGGAGCCAGGCTGCTGGGTCCAAATCCTGCCCTTCCCCTCCCCCTCCCCCGTTACTATTGATAGCAGCGCAACCTTTGGCACGTGACCTACCCTCTCCATGCCTCAACTTCCCCATCTGTCAAACAGAGATAATTGCCTCTTAATTCATAGGGTTGTTTGAGGTTTAAATGAGCCAAGATCGCTGAAACCAGTTCGGCTCAGTGGTTAGAGCGTCGGCCTGCGGACTGAAAGGTCCCAGGTTCGATTCCGGTCAAGGGCATGTACCTTGGCTGCGGGCGCATCTGCAGGTGGGGGTGTGTAGGAGGCAGCTAGTCGATGTTTCTCTCTCATCGATGTTTCTAGCTCTCTATCCCTCTCCCTTCCTCTCAGTAAAAAAATCAATACAACAAATTTAAATAAATAAATAAATGAGCCAAGATCTCTGAAAATTTCAGAAAGAAAAAGATGCGTGTGTGACAATGGGATTCGACAAAGCTGTGCTGGTGTGTGAGGTCACCTGCACTGTAAAGGCAGGCCGATGCAGAGCTGACCAAATAGCTTCCCGCTCCACCGCCACCCTTACGTGCCGTGCTCCTCAGGCTCTCAGAGCCTCCTCCCCATCCTCCCTGGGCGATCGCACTGTCAGGCTTCTATAACTGTCATTTATGTCCCACGGACTCCCCCCACCCCAATATACCTCCAACCCCTTCTTCCCTCTTGGCTCCACGTGGCAGCCTGGAGGTGGGAGCCCCCGGATGTGACACAGCTGCCACCACCTCATCTCCTCCCCCTCCCCCCCACACCGTCCACCGTCTCCCCAGGAGCACCCTGAAAGCCAGCTCCCTGCCTTCATCTTCCTGCCTCCAGCACACAGGACAGTCCCTGACGCAAGGTTCATCGAACGAGGGGGCAGGGAACCTGGGCTTTTGTTTTATTTTTTAACTTTATTTATTTATTTATTTATTTTTAATTTCTTTACTGCTTATATTTGTCCTCAACCCCCCATTCCAATCTCCCATTCCTCCCCACTCCTGCCCCCATCCCCTATTGTCCTTGACCACTGGTTAGGCTCCTATGTGTGCACACAGGTCCTTTGGTGGATCTCTCCCTTTTTCCCCCACCCTCCCTCTGAGGCCCATGGCTCCTTCTCTCCGGGTCTGTTCTTGTTCCTCAGCCTATGTTGTTCGACATTTCCCCCTGACGAGTGAGGGAGGCTTTTGTTTTAAACACACGCTGACCCTTCCCCCTGGTTTACCAGATAATCCCAAATGGCTGCCTTCTTCCCATAAATCCCCCGCCCCCGGGGGCTGGGTAACCAAACAGCCAGCCGGGGAGGGGGACCCAGGTCAGCCCAACAGGCCTGCGCCCAGGGGGCTTTCGCATGAGCTGTTCCCTTCGTCTGTGTCTCTTTTCTTCCGGATAACTGCCCTGTCTGTTCCTTCAGGAGCCCCACCTGATTGCAGTCTGCCGGCACCCCACAAGCACCCGGACAGCCCCAGCCTCTTTTTACTTTTCCCCCCATTGCATGTATTACCTGTTAACATACCATGGGATGGGCCTACTGTGCTTATTGTCTTTCTCTTCCTGCCAGAATGGAGGCTCCGTGAGGGCGGGGTCTCTCCTGTTCTGCTCTCCGCTGTGGCCCCAGCCCCCGGGACAATGCCTGGCATAGGAAGGGGCTCCACCGATATCTGCTGACCGATTGTCTGAGCCCACACAGAGACTCCATCTCGCCGTGTGTGTGGCACTGAGCAGCTCTCTGCTCCTCTCCAGGCCTCCGTCGCCCTCTCGGCCAATGACGTGGCTGGACATGAAGCTGCCTGAGGTCTGGCCTAGCGCTGACGTGTAGAACTTCTAGAACTGGGGCCCTGTGACTGTGGAGGGGGAGGAGAGCGCGTCCACGTGACTCCACGCTACCTGGTCCCCCTCCCCCGGCACAGGCGGCTCAGTTCAAGCCCCCTCTCCTCCCCGCCCCAGCTTTTCGCCGTGAAGAACCCCATCAGGACCATGCACAGGGTCAGGAGCTCACGTAAACCCCTCCGGGCCCTGTGAGGTGGGTCCCCTGAGGATGCTGGTGTGCAGGAGAGGAGGTGGGTCGTCGGAGAGCTAAGAAGGCAGATCCAAACCCAAGTCTTCTGACACCCAGAGCTCCTGCTCTGAGCCATGTTCTCAATCCTGACTCCCACCCTAGAAGTTCTGAAAATAAAATACAGGTCCTCCAGGCCTCACCCCAGGAATCCGGCTTTAACCTGTTGGAGAGGGACCCTGGTGCCTGCAGCCCTCTGTCCAGGGGCAGGAGTAGCCCGAGGGAAGAGGGACATCGGGGCTCCCCTCCCTCCCATGACCGGCCACACGGGGATGCGAGTCCCATGGAGACATGGACTCGTTCTTTTTCGTCCTCCGTGTGTGGGACAGTACCAAATGGGCACTCGATGGATATTAGTTGAATGAGTGAATAGATAATGAACAGCATGCCTTCGATAACTGTCTATTCTCTCCTTTCTGCTCTATGCATCCGAACAGAGCTCTGTGAAGATGACTGCAGAGGTAATTAATGATTCCGATAAGACTTCCCCAAGATGACACAGCCAATAAAGGCACCAGAACCCAAACTCACATCCATGTCCAGCCGTGTGCGTTTGTCTCAGAAGAAAGGGGGTGGGCGTGGGGAGAAGGAAGAGTAAACAGGAACAGAGCAGAGAAGGTGGTGGACTGGGGGAAAGAGAGAAGACATCCACGCTCTGGGTTGGACAAGTTTGTGAAGTTAAGTCGACCCTACCGCCTTTCGCTTAAACTCGGCGCGAGATGGGCCGACCCGGCCCCTTTCAGCCGGGAGAAACTCAGATTGCGACCGAGGAGCGGCTCTGTCGCCCGCTGAGGAATCGGCCGGCTATATTAGGAAGCTTACAGCGAGTGTCCAGAGGCACAGACACCGGGGGCGGCTGGGAGGGACGGCGCTCCGGGAAGGACTGGAAAAGCCAAGTGCCAGGGCCATCGCAGGCTGACTCTCTCTAAGACAGGAGGGTGCCCGCTGGGGGACGGGAAGGATGCATCGGAAGAGGGAGAGAAGGGGGACCCTGCGCAGGTTTCCGGCTGACGGAGGCCCTCTGAGGAAGGGAGTGCCTCCTGATCCCCATCTGGCTGGCCCCGCACTTGGCCTTGTAAACTGCAGGCTTTCCCACTGCCCTCGGGAGAAGGAGCGAGATTCTGGGCAGCCTGTGAGGCCGGGCCTGGGGTGCGGCTGCCCACTGTGTCCTGACTCATCTCCAACGGCTCTCTGGTCACACGCGCCTTCCTGCCTCAGGGCCTTTGCACATGCTTTCCTTCCTCTCCTCGGCGTGCCCTTTGCCTCCCTCCTCCCCTGGCCAGCTCTGCTGGTATTTTGAGCTGTGCTTAAGTGTGATTTCACCCAGGAGGATTGCTGGAACTCTGCTCCCTGAGCACTGCCACGCGCTGTCATGTCACCCTGTGCTTCTTCCTGGCACTTTCCCCAGTTGCAGTTAGAGACTTAGGTTGATCATTTGTTCACCTTAAGCTTTTCCTACCGAACTTTGGCTTCCAAGGGGGGGGGGGGGAGGGAGAGAGAGAGAGAGAGAGCCTTGTCTAGGTAGTCCTGCTGTGATCCCAGCATCTAGCACCGTTCCCAGGTGCCCTCAGTCAACACCCGAGGAATCTGTATCTCTCCTGATTGTCACCCTATGTTCTCTCAGGGGCAGAGACCACAGCTTCCTCTCCTCCAGACTCAGCACCTGGCACGTGCTCAGTAGCGATTGGCAGTGACTGCCACCTTTGTTCAGGGCTTGAGGCTCAGCAGCTCAAACTCAGGGAGTCACAGGGACACTGACAAAAGGCTAGTGAGGGCCATACGTGGTACATACCGTCCAGTCCCTCAGACCAGGCTCTTACATGTAATAAAACCTGCTATTGCCTTCTATCTGCAGGCTTAGTGGAGTACGACCCGAGTTTTAACCTTAACTCTGACATGGGATAGTTTTAAAATGGGCATAATTGAGTTAAACCCGTTGAGCCTTGTTTTATCCTAAATTGGAGGTAATGACACCTACTTCTATTTATTCCTTTGAATTCAACAACGGTTTGCTGTGGATACTGCAGTCTTGGTGCTGGGGCTACAGCAATAAACAAGTTGGCATGGTCCCTGCCCTTAGGGGCTTGGCGTCTAGT